GCCACCATGCCTGGCTAATTTTTTGTATTTTTTGTAGAGACGAAGTTTTGCCATGTTGCCCAGGCCACTCTCCAACTCCTGGGCTCAAGCAGCCCTCCTGCCTTGGCCTCCCAGAGTGTTGGGATTACAGGCGTGAGCCACCACACCTGGCCTTAATCTTCAAAGAAAGAAAGATTGTTCTACAATTCAAAGAGAGATATTCTAAAATTTATTATTGAATGGGTAGGACATGCACACAGTACAGTAGTCCCCCATTATCTGTGATTTCACTTTCTGTGGTTTTGGTTACCTGCAATTAACTGCCATCTGAAAATATGAAATGGAAAGTTCCAGAAATAAACAATTCATAAGTTTAAATTTTGTGCCATTCTGAGTAGGATGAAGAAATCTCTTACTGTCCTGCTTTTTCCATCTGGAATGTGAATCATCCCTTTGTCCAGAGTATCCATGTTGTATGTGCTACCAGCCTGTTTGTCATTTGGTACCCATCTTTGTTTTGAGATCAACAAACATACTATACATAGGGTTCAGTACTATCCAAGGTTTCAAGCATCCACTGAGGATTTTGAAACATGTTCCCCAAGGATAAAGGGGGCTTCTATATAAATTTAAAAGGCACACATATATAGCAAACAGTTTGGTGGCTTTCCACAAGGTTTTTTTTTTTTTTGAGACGAAGTCTTGCTCTGTTGTCCAGGCTAGAGTGCAGTGGCACAATCTTGGCTCACTGCAACCTCCACCTCCCAGATTCAAGCGATTCTCCTGCCTCAGCCTCCCAAGTAGCTGGGATTACAGATGTGTGCCACCAATTTTTGTATTTTTAGTAGAGAGGGGGTTTCACCATGTTGGCCAGACTGGTTTTGAACTGTTGACCGCAAGCGATCCACCCGCCTTGGCCTCCCAAAGTGCTGGCATTACAGGGGTGAGCCACTGTGCCCAGTCACTTTCCACAAGTTAAACATAGAATTTCCATGTGACCTACCAACGCTGCTCCTTGGTATATAACAAAAATAATAATGAGCTCAAGCAAAAACTTGTACACAAATGTTCATAGCAACTTTATTTGCAATAGCTAAGAGGTTCATCAATAGATGAACGGATCAGCAAAGTGTGGTATAGCCATACAATGGAATATTATTTAGCTACCAAAGTAATGAAGTACCGTTGCAGGATACAACATGGATGAACCTTAAAAACCTTGAACATATTTTGCTAAATGAAGCCAGACACAAAAGACCACACAATGTATGATTCCATTTATATGCAATATACAGAATAGACAAATCATAGAGACATAAAGCAGATTAATGGTTTCCAGTGGCTGGGGGGCAGAGGAGTGACTGCTTTATGAGTACAGGGTTTCTGTTTGGGGTGATGAGAATGTTCTGGAGCTAGATAATTGTGATAATGACATAACATTGTAAATGTACTGAATGTCACTGAATGGGATACTTCTAATGATTACAATGGTAAATTTTATGTTATAGGCATTGTACTACAAAAAGAAGCCTGAAAGGGGGTACACAAGAATATAGAGTAAAAACTGAGAGGCTGACTTGGGGTTCACTGCCTGTGAGTTAGCACTGGTCTGCAAGGAGCAGTCCTATTCAATAAAATATTGCTGTCTATACATATATTTTTAAAAACACAAAACGAAGACAGCAAAAAACCTTAAGTCTTCCTCACATCCCTGTCTTCTAGCACCTAACTGCTTTCTCCAGAAGTCACTCCTGCTATCAATTTGTTCTATATTTGTACTGACAAATTCTGTGCATCTATGAACACATATATTTATATTTAGTTTAACAATATTTTCATATAATTATAAAATATTGCAGTATCATATACCTACCGTATTTTTTTCCCTTTTGTTCCCCAGCCCCTCAGTATGGAGATTCCTCCCTTTCACTACCAACACAGAACTAACCCATTCTTTTACATAACTATTCAATGTTCCTTTGTTTGGAAGTTTTAAAATTTGTTTATCCTCTTTTGATAGAAATTTCGGTGCTTTCCAATCTTTTGTTTTCTTTTACTTTACAAATATCTTGTGAGTAGTTACCCTAAATCAGGGATTAGCAGACTACAACCCAGGGACCAAATCTGATCCACCACTTGTTTCTGTCTGACCTGCAGGTTAAGAATAATTTTTCGTTTTTAAGAGGTTGAAAAAAGTTTTAATTTCTGTCGCTCAGGTTGGAGTGCAATGGCACGATCTTGGTTCCCTGCAACCTCCGCCTCCCAGGCTCAAGCAATCCTCCTACCTCAGCCTCTCAAGTAGCTGGGACTACAGGCACTCACCATCATGCCTGACTAATTTTTGTACGTTTTGAAGAGA